ACACTTATACCTTTACATTACCAAAACAGTAGTTACAAAAGGATTAGCTATAATTTTCTATTGTCTAGAGTACTCACCCAATCCACCAATTTTCCTGATACAGCAGTGATCTTTAAACATACATGGTACACGACTGTTGTCACACACCATGTCAACAGCCCTGTACTGAGTATTTTGAGATTATTACAAACCACACATTAGACATCGTATTTTATCCAGCTGTCTATAGAACATGAATTTACCTTGCAACGTTAACAACATGGTTAAGAAGATGGTTCAGCTCTCTGCTTAATGATACACAGTTGCACCAGGGTTAACCAAGTATCTTAAATTGAGATGAGGTATTCCCTTTCCACTGTCTCCTTTCTTAATATCCTTATGTATCAGGCATTTACACATCTAAGCACATGCTGATAGCTCTGCTATTTGCACTATTCTACTCCATGGTCATCTAAGTTGGTAACACGCAAGTTGTAATAGTTCCATTCCTAAATACAAGGTGCCCCGTGAGAATTTAACTCCTCATGATTAAAGTTCACTAAGAAAAAGATAAGAGAAAGTTTACACAGAAAAAGCTTGCGTAACCCAGTGTTTAGATAGTATAGAACAAGAATGCGGTAAGAGGGGGCAAGGTCATGTTTACCTATAAAATTAGGGGGAATAATAAAGGTAGGTTACGAGGTTTCAGTTTTTCCTCTTTCAACAAAGTCCTAAGCTAGTCTTATTACCAAGACTTCTTCTTTCACTTGGGAACACATCTTGAACACGTGATGCCACTGCTAAGATTTACTATACCAGTAAATATTTCATTGGGTGAACCCTACTGCAGAGCACAGAAAGGTCCTTTCTTATGAGGCTCTTAGTAGCTCCTCACTGTCATTCCCATGAAATATCATTTCCCTTAACATGTGACTGCAGGCAGTCAGACAATGAGTTTTGAGTTATTGCTGCCAAGCCCTTGCTGTGATCAGGAATCTTGTACGGGGCCAAGTAGCACAAGTAGTTTTCTGAGGAACTTCTTGTGGCTCCAGACATGCCCGTGCTCTACAGGGCTTTTCATAAAAAAAGTCCATTTCCCCTCAGTCAGTCAGAACAGCCAAAGGAGAGAGTTGCGTATTTCATAAGCTAAATGACACTAATCTGGAGAGCAGTCCATGCATAAAAGCTGTGGGCTGCATTTTTATCCTTCCCGTAAATCTGTACTCCTTAGGCCTCTTTAATAAACTTACAAAATAAACAAATAACAAACTGCCTCCACTTCCCTCAAAAGCAGTTTCCAAAGCATCCAAAACAGTCTTTGAAATTTTAGCCCTTGAGAACTAAGTTAACAGCAAAAATCCTATTTTACAACACCTTTAACAGCACTAGAAATATCAAGGAAAATTACAATACCGCCCATCTTTGGGCAGTCAATAATTTATCATTAGCAAAACGTATTTTATAAAATATAACATATTTTATATATATGCTGACATCCAGGAGGTATTTCTGCAGTTTGTTATTCCTATAAACCTGCACAATGGCTCATAAACAAAATTTTACACAGTAAGCTCGTAACACCGCTAGCAAAGATGTCAGGGATGTCTTCAGCCCTTTGAGATTATAGCAATTCTCAGGCATAAAAAGGTACCAGTTTTATCAGTATCTTTACAGTGGCATTATTTTTACAAGTTTGAAATTGAAAAGTTATCACCTGAAATATACCTGAAATATTGTTATATTCACAATAGTTAATACCTTACTCTTCATATCTAGCCAGCTGGGCTATCTCCTTCGTTTACACAGAAGTGTTCTCTTTCTAAAGAATTAGAAATTAAAGAAACAAGAAAATCCTACAAGAACAGCCAGACTTAAGGAATGGCCACTTCTGGCTAAATACGCATAGAATAATTGTTGGAGGCTAGAGGAAACGAACAGGAAAACCTCCAGAAAATCTACTCCCAGACTTTCAATTAGTAAAAATGCACTCCTGCCAAACTGATGCTCTGGGATGCGCTCAGTCCTCCCCCCTGCACAAGATGCTGTTTGTTCTGTTTGGAATTTCTCACATAAACCCCACTCTGTGAAGAAGTTCAATGGGCCACCATGAAGCACACCACCAAGGACTTTCAAAAGGAGGAGCAGATGTGAATTTAGTACATAATTATTTGTAATAACAGTATTCAAGAAAGACACTATCAAGGGAGGCTTAGCACCACACAGTTTAACCAAGACAGCGATAAACAAAGAAAATGAAGCTGGCCGTCAGCTTCACAGCTCCTCTCCCTGATAAACTAGGAGTTAACGAGTACAACCAGGAAGGCACCTCATAGTATTGTGCTGCGTATAACCAGTATTCCCTCACAGGCAGTAGGTCCTACGAAATAATTAATAGCAAAGCCCTCTACACAAGAACACTGTTTCTCTTCATGCATGTACAGTAAACAAAATCATGAAGGAAATTTGCCACGATTTGTTCCAAACGTGAATTGAGCATGGTCCATGCTGAGTTGCACTGAATGCTGTCAGTGAAAAGAATGCGAAATACAGCTTGAGACCAACATTTAATCAGCGTTACACAACCTGTGTTTCTAAGACTTTTTAATTTGTGAGAGCCATATAGCCCAATTTGAGAAAGACATAAAGGAGATCTCTTGATTCATACAATCATTCAGGTTTGAAGGGATCTCAGGAGGCTTCTAGTCCAACCTCATGCTCAAAGAGTGGTCAACTCCAAATTCAGACCAGGTTGTTCAGGGCTTTCTACGGCCAGGTCTTGAAAACCTCCAGGGACAGAGACTCCATAGCCTCTCTTGGCAGCCTCTCTCAATGCTTCATTATCCTCCCCGCAACATTTTTTTTTCCTTATATCCAGGTCAGATCCTCTCTGTTCCCATTCCCACACCAGACGCCTTTCTCCCCACTGCCCACCTCTGTGAGGAGCCTATTACCATCTCCCCACTGCCCCCCCCATCAGTGGGAGTGGTGGCTGTTGGGCCCCCACAGCTTTCCCTCCCCCAACTAAGCAAACCCCACTCCTGTAGCCTCTCCTTGCACATCAGCTCCAGCCCCGACCATTATGGGGCCCTGCTGGACTCACTCCAGTTTTTGAGTACTCGCCCTATGGTAGCTCAGAGCTGCGCCCACACTGCAGGTGGGGTCTAAGAGAGCCAGCCAGGGGACCCCCGCTGTCACCCACTCCAGGCCATGCTCCTGCTGGTGCAGCCCCAGGGTCGCTAGCCTTCACTGCTGTCAGGGAATCCTGCAGCTCACGTTTAGCCTGCTGCCCACCTGGGCCCCCAGGTCCTTTTCAGAAGAGCAGTCCCACAGCCAGTTAGTTCCCAGCCCACACTCTTGGAGAGGGTTAGTACATCCCAATTGCACGACTCGGCATTTGTCGTTGTCGAATTTCATGAGGTTCCTGTCAGCCCATTCCTCCTGCCCTCTAGGTTCCTCTGAATGGCAGTCCTTCCCTCAAGTGTATTGACTGGTTGACTAGTTTCTCAGGCACAAACCTGATGAGGGTGCACTCTATCTCCTCCTCCAGATCCTTGCCAAGGATGTCAGGCAACACAGATACATATGCTTCCCTGAAGAACTCTGTCTCCAGGTAGAGCATGAGCCATTAACCACCACTCTTTGAGCTTGATGATCCAAGCAGTTTCTCACCCACTCAGCAGCCCATCTGTCAAAGATGATGGAGAGCAGCCTCGCTATGACATTGTCCAGCCTCCTCACCACTCTCAATGTAGTTCATGTTATCCCAAAGACTAGATTTGGGCCAAGATTTCTCAAGAGATCCTTGACTTGATCCTCACCCGTTGCTAGTCATTCTCCTCCTTGAACCCTGTCTCTAAACACATAGGCCTTCAGAGAAGACTGAAGCGAAGAATTCAAGTGACTCAGCCTCATCTGCGTTGGCTGCTGCTAATTTACCCACCCCGTTCAGCACAGGTCTACATTTTCCTTGTTTATTCCTGTACTGCTAAAGCAACAGAAGTTTTACTGGTGGGCCCTTTATGTCCCTTGCTCCTTGTCCCTCAGCTCCAGGTGTGCTTTGACTTTCTTGAAATCATCCCTACATGTTCGGGCAATGTTTCTATATTCCTGTCCCTGTCCCAGCGTTCGCTTCCTGTATGCTGTCTTTGTACCGTGGCTCAGTCACAAGCTCCCTGTTCAGCCAGGTCAGTCTCCTGTTATGTCTGTTCATTTTCCAGGATGTACCATTCCTGTGCTTGGAGAACGATGTCCTTAAAAACTTGCAAGCTTTCCTCAGCAGATTTACTCTTCAGAGTTGCCTTCCATTGAATCCCACCTACCAGTTCCCTGAATAAGCCCAAAGTCTGTTCTCTTGAAGTCTAGGGTCTGTAACCTACTCTGCTACTTGCCTTCCTCACCTCCATCAGGACCTTGAGCCCCACTATTTGATTCCCTAACAGATTTTCAATAAAACCACAATTTTTATTGAGCAGCCCGTTGATAATACTACTGCGCCCTCTAAGAGAACCAGGATTAATTGCTGGGCCTGCTTAGCACCCTCAGTCAAAGTTTTGGAAGTGCTTCACAAGACTGTACGTTCAACTGAGCCAGGGAAACAGAGCACAAGTGGTTAGGGCAAACCTCTGTATGTAACTATAGAGTATTCCCTCACACTGAGCAACATGTTGAGTAGCATCCAGGAATTAGCATGTTCTGCCAAAATTATACATGTTTTCAATTAAAACACAGAACATTGCACTCTAAGATATAGCAAAGATAAGAAACAAGAAGACAATGTCCATCACAGAAATCTGCACCCATACGTACCAGGAAGTAATTTTCTGCTGAAATATAAATAGCACTATATAATTCATCTAACAACGACATTAGGCAGCTGTCACTAGTTAACACTTACAGACACTGCATTTTCCTTTTCTTTAATTAAATACCAATGTATTACCATGTAAGTGACCATGTAAGTGACTGAATGTGAAAAAACACTTAGCAGATGAAAGGGTATTTTCTCCTAGACAGGTGCTAACCTTGGGATGCTCGTCAGGTATGTCAGGACATTCTGGAACTCCTTCTCAGGAATCTCGCTGAAAGCTGGATAGTCTGGAAAGGTGATAACAGGGCATCCATCTCCCCCTCTTCCCCCTACAAAAGAAACAAGCAGCAGGCGCGTTTACATGCAAGTCCCTTTATCTAGCGTGCAATTTCCCAGTAATGAAACTACCGCGTTTCTTCTTTTTTTTTTTGTGCAGGGCTCATCAGCGTGGACACTGTTCATTCTGAACAGTCTAGTCTCTTTTTCAGAGCTTAGGAAGGTACTTGTTATACCACATTAGATTTTTTTCTGTACAAATGTCTTTGCTCATGTGAACGCAGTTCTGACACCAGATGGCAGTGCATCTTTCTTTTGATAAATGTCAATAGTATGTAAATATAACCAATTTGGAGAAAGAAATGAACTGAATTAGAAAAAAAAGTTAATTCAGAATTAAGTAGGTGAATCTCCATCTTGAACTGAATTCAACCTTCTTACCAGTTTGAACTCATTTCTACAATACCCTCCCCCCGCCTTCAGCTAGCTGCTCTGCTTCCAGGACAGTCTAAAAGAAGTGGCAGAACATTAAAAGAAATGGGGGAAGGTGTTTCAAATGAGATTTCCTGTTCAACTTCTCAGATCACCTACAAAAGGCAAAGCAGAGCCTTTTTAATGTGCTTTTTAATGTGCTTCACACACATTTTTACATACAAATTTTTTTTTTTTTTTTTTTAAAGGCAATGTTAATGTTTCATGTCTTAAGCAAGGATTTTCATAAAGACAGGCTGGACAAAGGACTCGCTGAGTCCAGCAACTGCATGAAGTTAACAGTTGGGGGTAGTAGGGACACGTTGCTGGAAAGTTATCTTTGCTTGACAGTTCAAAAAGAGAAGAAAAACAGCCAAAAATGACTGTGGCAAAATAATAATGATATTTTTTCCAGCCCTGAAATCTGACAATTGTGCAGAAATCAGCTGTATTAACAACACTGCCTGATCATGACAGCAACAGTGATTTGTGAAAATTATAGTGTGCTATTACCCACTTCAAGTGCCTTTACATCTAACCTCAGCAGAAAAAGAAGAGAAACATTTGAGCTCAGATTCATTTGATGAAAGAAACCACCATTTCCCTTCAAAACCGCGTGTAATTAGAAGAGCTCAAATAGTATCCTTATGTTAATTTGTGGTAAATCTGACTTCAATCTACCAGCTTACAGGCAATATGGTGCTACCACTGTATAGCTCTTGAAATCAAACTGCATCAGAAAATAATATGCTCTGGATGCATTTAAACAACAACAACAAAATGCAACTATTACGCAAATATCACAAGCTTGCAAATATAACCTTTACGATATATCCAAATGCAGCAACATTAAGTCAAGGAAGTTAGTTTTAGCTATATAAATGTTCACAATACAAATGTAAGTTAAGACCAATTTTGATCCTATTATTTTTTGTTCTACCCAGGCTCTCAGGACCAAAGCATTTTCCTCTCTCATTAGAATAATTTTTCAAACATGATAATGATTATTTCTGTTGCTTATGAGGTGTTCTGCTCTCTCTAGAATATCTATTTTTAGGTACAATTATACATTATTTGCTGTATCCCCGTTGGTTACTTGCTTTGTTCTACTTATTTCTATAAATAGGACATATGAAACAAAAGAAGAACAACAATAGGCTTACAGGACATGTCCTAAAAGCAGAAGCCCGGACTATGACCTTCAGGAAGTTCTCAGACCACCACCGACTGTCAAGGGCAAATAGAGCCATGCTGCCTTGACACTACCTATTAATTTTCAGTTTCTAGTACGGTCATCTGTGGTTATCTTGGGTGGAGACAACTCTGTCCTGCCACATGCTGTTAGAAGATCGTTGTTTACTGATTATCTTTTTCTCCAGTATTTTCCTGCTGGGACACTTAAGCATACATATACCTTCAAATGCTGCTCAACTGCTTTTCCTTATCAGGACCTTGCTGCTGAGAAGAGTTTAAGGCAGAGTGACCTGAAATGCTCTTTACACAATAGTGTAGGTAATACAGTGCTTTATACATAATAAATTCTGTAAAATTTCAGCTTTAACATAGCTGACCTATAGAACTCGCTTTCTATATTGCAACTTTAAATACATGGCCATCAAGGGGAGACAGGCCACTCCAGCTAAGCACTCGCTACTTACAAATGAGTGTTTGTCACAGCAAGCTACAAAAAGGGCATCGGAAATATAACAAAGTAAAAATCCTACTATAAATTGTGTTTGTATTAAATAACAGTAAAAGCAATAGGTGGGTTCACTTTTTAAAGTGTCCTTTATTTCATAACGAACCTGATGCACCAAGGAATGATTTTTCTCCTTTTCGGAATCACTTTTTCTTGCTTCATCTCTGCAAAAGCAGCATTACACATTTTATTCCTAACTCAGCTGTGTAAAATCTGATTTTCTTCCCTTCTCGCAGAAGTAAATCAAGCCACAGAATTCAGGGGGAGGAGATAAAAGAGAAAGTTTAGGAAGCTAGGTTGGGTTTTGTTGTTTTTGTTTTTAGTGAAAGTGAAAGCATTTGAGTGACAAAATGAACAATTTTACTTGTCTCATCCTTCTTGAAACACAGGTTTAAGCCAAAAATTTAAAACACCTTATTAATAGCAATTCACATAATAACCTTCCAGCACCTCAGAATTATATACACCCAATTATAAAAAAAGGACACGAAAACTTAGATGAACTCCATGAGTGCTACAACTCATGATAATAATTCAATTTGTACAGAGTAATTTTTAAAACTAGCAACTGGAATTTTAATCACCATCCAAAAAAGTAGTGATTTAACTGCAATATTTTAATAAATTCAGCTCTGTTGGTAGAGTGACTGTGTCTAATTACCTCAGTCATAACCATTCGAAAATCATCTCTTTCTCCTTCCCTTCTAGCTCACAGTCCTGAAATTTCAGCCACAGCTGTGGAACAGCCTAAACTTATTTGCTGGGCAAGTTCTGTCCACAATGGCACACACAAGCCCACTCTCCTATTTCTAGGCTTAAGCAGGGATGCACTGACCTATACAATTGGAATTTAATAGTTTTATGTGTTCCTAAGACAACAAAGTATCTCCTTGAGACCATTGAGAGCATTTTCTTAGTCTAGTCTTAGTCTTTTTTTTTTTTTATCTGTATTTCTGAAAGGATATTAAACCCCCTTATTTTTGTTAAAAATATAAACACTGTTGTGATTATGCAAAGGTCAGGTTGGATGAGGCTTTGAGCAACTTGATCTAGTGAAAGATGTCCTTACCCATGGCAGGGGGGTTGGACTAGATGATCTTTAAAAGTTCCTTCCCAAACCATTTGTGATTCTGTGATTGTAAGATGTTGGAAAACATTCAGTATTATTTCTTTTTGAAATACTAAACAAATGCCACTTGAGTGTCAGCTCTAGTTTCTGTTTATTGCAAGGAGCAGAAGAGATGCATCAGTCCTTACGTGGGTGCAATCAGTCCACACACATTTTACCTGAAATGATTCCCAAGAATTACTTGAGACTTGTCTCATAACATGCAGCTGTAAGGAACATTCTCCAAGTGAGAGGATTATTACTTTTCAGTCTAAAAATGGAAACACCATGAAAGTAAAGAGCACTGAAGCGTATGTCAGCAATTAAAAAAAAACATAAAAACACACCGCCACTTTAAATCTGCTTCCACCCTACTTCCGTGAGCCTTAATAACAAAGTGTTCCTTTAATGAACTAATTTGTAACTGACCTGGGCAACCTATTCAACTGAAACTTCTTTAACGGATTTAGTATCAAAGAAAACACAAACTACCTCTCTAAAATGGAAATTTTTCAGTGGATAAACCTCTACAATTCTAGTAAACCTCCAGTTAGGTGGAGCTCTTCTAAATAGATCTATGCGCCTTAGTCTAAGGCCAGTTTTTACACCAGCGGCAGCCCTGTGTTTTGGAGAAATACACGTTTTAAAAACATGTTGAATTCGAATTAGCTCCACAGGTTAAGTAGCAAAATGACCTAACTGTATTTAGGAAATAGCACTCTGTGTTCCTAACTTTTGTATACAATTATTTAAACAATAGCACCAGTGTTAAAATTATGTGGACCCAGAGCATCGCGATCTCGTGTATGAAAGGAGTGGAAAAATGATCCTTGGAAAACTAGCTGTGCTACTGTGAGATAGGACTGGTAAAATCTACCTTAAGTCTACGTAATTTAGCATTTATTCTTTATATTCTGCTACATCTAACTTTTCCCATCACAGTTGCAATCTCTTTTGGGTTTGTTGTCTTTTTTTTATTAAGCAGGTAGGGTGATAGAGAAGTGCCAAGCCATGGCAACTGCAACACTGTTTTACACAAATTCTAATCAAGAGGCATATTGGTGACTTGGTATCTAAAAACAATCTCAAATGAGAAATAATTAATATTCTTTTCAATTTAAAATGGCATTGACAGGGAAAATTATGAAAACTATGAATTGTGCAGCTGCTAAAAAACACATGCACATGCGTGCGTGCACACACACATAGAGAAAAGCGTAATTCCCCACAACCCTGTGAAAGACAGTTTTTTTGGTACAGCCAGCAAAATTGGGGGGCAGCAAAGGAGATTGCTGAGACTTCCAGGAAAGAAGAGCAGGAGATTATTTTGTAATGTTTCCCTAAT